TGTAAGTGTTCATATAATTAATATTTTTAAGGTCTGTAACTTAAAATATTCAGTGGTGGATGTTTTTTTGTGGAAGATAATTTTGGCAGCAGACAAACTTCAACATTAAAATGATATGACATGTATTTGTTTTAAATAAAAACAGAACAATTATATTGAGAGAGAATGTCTGTAACTGTAATATGGTGTGTCTGATAATCATCTGGAAGATTGTCATGGAAACTTCTTTCAGCAAATCTTAGATGAGTCACTTCCTCAGAACGATAACATATTTAGAAATAGAAACCCTCAACCTCGGTCACATGCGCTGCAGTCCCTGCTGCAGAGCTGACCTAAAGAAAAAAGTTGGCATTTTTTAAAAACAATGGAGGAAATCAATGACGATGTGGAAACTGTAAAACCCCTAACCCCAAGATCAGCAATACAAGAAGGTAAGTGTTCAGTCAGACGGAGTGAGCTGTGGATTGTGGATGTATTATACTCACTGGTCTTCTCTGTGTTCAGGTCCCAGGAGATTTCCCCGAGCGTCTGTTCTCGGTTTTGGGCTGCTGAGTGTTTTCCCGCTGGTTGTTCTCATCGGACTCACAGTCTACTGTTAGTCTGTTTTATAAGTTAATGTCATTTGGAATTTGGAATTTTCAAAAGCACTTTCTGCCCTCTGCCTTTTACTTAAGTTTGTATCAGTATGAGGTATTTTCTGTTTAGAAAACGTGTCTCTTGTTCATTTCAGGCCGTTACTCAGAAGGTTGTTGCAAGCTGCAGATCTCTCCGCTGTCAAAGCAAACCTGACTGGGCGTCTCCAGGCCAGAGATCAGCTGGTCAACCAGCTGAAGGCCAGCCTCACCAAAAAGACCAGAGAGGTGGACAGGCTTCAGAGTTTGATGGAAAAGGGTCAGTGCTTCATGTGGGGGGTTTGCATAGGGCTCGGTATGTGTATGTAAGATATCTATTATCATAATATTTTTTTACAAAATACCTCGATATTGATAGTCTAAGGCTGACTATTGATGCTTTCATAAAATAGTTACACAATGACAATTTTTATTAATGATAATAAAGAATTCGTTTTGAATGACTTAGTTGTGAGTGATTTAATTTATAGTTTGTTTTATTTTTCTTCACCCACCATCATGCCCCATACACTTGTGTAGACCACCATATTTATATTTCTCTGTAAACTATTCTTATGGCCAGTTTCCTTGTCTAAATTACTTTTAATATAAGCAATAGGAAGAAGAACTTAGAGGTAGTTTGTTCCAGATATTTGCGGCATAATAATAATAATAATAATAATAATAATAATAATAATAATAATAATAATAATAATAATAATAATAATAATAATAATAATAATAATCATAATAATAATCATAATAATAATAATAATAATAATAATAATAATAATAATAATAATAATAATAATAATAATTATAATAATAATAAATGATAACAAGGTTTCAAACCAATTTAGAACTGTTGCCGAAAGTCAGACCCAGTTTTCCAGTCGGTCTAGTAACTAACACCAAAATGTTGCCACTGTCTGTGTTTAAGTGGATGTCATTGAAGACTTTAACTAGATCAGTCTCAGTGCTGTGGTGCCTGACTAGATCACATCGAAACAGTTATTTAAATCCCAAAAAAGAGAAGTAGTTGTTCTGCAATGAAATTTGTGATATCTTTTGATCCCTCTAAAAATGCTTAATAAATATGTGTTTTCATTATTATTACAAAAGTGACATATAATGCACTCAAGAGTTCCATATTTCAGCAGTTAAAGCAGTAAATCAACAAGATCTTAAAACTTTTACAGCAAAAACGTGTCCAGAAGGATGGAGGATGTTCGGTTGTTCCTGTTATCTCTTCTCTACTGAGGAAGCTTCTTGGGAACAAAGCAGAGACAACTGCACAGCCGGAGGAGCACATCTGGTGATCGTAGACAGTAATAAAGAACTGGTAATGTGTGCCGCTTTAACACTTGTGATTGTATAACTCCTGCTTTTATCAATCAATAATGTTTTTATTGTACATATACTAGCAAATGTGTCTATCAGCTATAATGATTACGTTACAACAATGGTGTTAATTACATATTTCTGAGCTAGTAAAAAGGGAAAAGTTATCTGAATGTTGATGTCCATCCCAGTAAACTGCATTTTTAATATGTGAACAGGAATTCATCTCTAGCATGACCAAGAAAGACACTTGGATTGGTTTGAGTGACAGAGAAGAGGAGGGGACCTGGAAATGGGTGGATGGATCTCCACTGACCCTGACGTAAGGCTTTACTTTGGTTTGAAATACAGACGCTGGTTTATGTTGTGACCTTTCTAAATGTTTCACATGTTTCTGTAATGGGAGTTAACACAACACACAGGATGGATTTAAACGTAGGGTATCTGCCCCTTTCACCAGAAGACTCATTTGGGTTTTAAGAAAAGAACATGGCTGTATTACTTATAGTTATTTGTATTTGATGTCCAATCTTTTAGTTCATCTTGTTTTCCTGTAATACCTGTTAGGTTTTGGAAAGGAGGAGAGCCTAATAATGGAGCAGGGGGGTCTGAAGAGGACTGTGCATACATCTATTCTAACAAAAATGTTTGGAATGACGCGTTCTGTTCGGTCGATCTGCATTGGATGTGTGAGAAAGATTAACATTGGTTTCTGTTTGGATACTGTACATGCAATCATGCTTTTACAATTTAGTTTAAATCGAGTTATTTAAAACTATACAAAATGTCTGATTTCATGAATAAGAATTACTTTGCTCGAATTGATAAATCACAATTTGTTTTTTTTGTGTTTTTAATCAGGATTAATATCAGTAATAAATAAATAAATAGTAGTTTAATTAGTTTTTGCCAAATTTTGTTTGCCTCAATTACATTTGTATTTGTATTAATCCTTTTACCCATCAACATAAAAACAGCTTATTAAAAACATCTGCTGATAAGCCCACAGTTCCTGAAAGCTATAATATTAAAGGTGCCTTATTGAGCAGAATATGATATAAAAAATGAAAATAAAAACTTTCAACATTAATGAATAATTCAGACATATACAACAATACTCTAGTCTCAGCATTGGTCTTGTTCAAATATGTAAAATAGCCTGTGTGTTATACAGTATGTTTCCTAACAATGACCTCTTGTGGCCATGTGAGTATAAATCTATTGCAGGTATTTAACATTCACACTTTGTACATACTGTAAGAACTAGTGCTGTCAATTAATACAAAAATGTATGTATGTTTATCACAATAATAATCTGGGACTTTAACTGCAGGATTTGCAGGACAAATTAGATATAGCTAGATCAGGAAATGGCAACTTTCTTTGAGCATGCATACAAAGATAAAAAACGTAAAAAGATATTGTGGGTGTATTACATGTTCTCTGACGAGATAAAGCTTTTCCACTTCAACAAACTGCTGTTATCAGATAAAAGCAGCTTTACCACTTCACCTTTTTTTCTCAAAGTGAACAACTCCTCCCTGAAAGTTATCTTTGAAATGATGTGCACTTTTTATATTTATGATCAGCGGCAGACAGAGTACTTCAGAGGAAAGACATTTGTGTTTATCAGCATTTAAAATTAAGATCCCTGCTTTCACAACAATGTCATGCTATTCTCTTTGTATTAACCAGTAAAACAGATCTATACAGGATCAATACATTTAGAATATTATTCATCTGTATGGCTTTGTAAGATGATATGTCTCTATTTAACACAATGGACTTGATCTCACTTGTTTCAGTCTGAAATCTGTATTGTCAATGTGCTTTGGCAATAGTGTGTTTTAAATATGGGCATGTCAATAAAGTTTATTTGAATTTGTCTTGACTCTCAGCGTGAGAAAAAAAACAATTTCCTTCTATATTTGAGATAGATATATAGATAATTATCTGGTACAGTTGCTAGGACTACCTTTAGCACTTAAGAGGTGTGACGTATTGATGGTGTTTTGTTTTGTTTCATCCTTTACGCTATTGCCATTTTCCCAGACATTAGACATCATATTTCAAACTATCTAGATGGAAATATTTAATAGGGCTGTTTTTTTTTATAAGTTAATGTCATTTGTAATTTTCAAAACCACTTTCTGCCCTCTGCCTTTTACTTAAGTTTGTATCAGTATGAGGTATTTTCTGTTTAGAAAACGTGTCTCTTGATCATTTCAGGTTTTATATTTCATAACAAACTTGATTTCAGATGTTCCACTTACCTCAGGTCATCACTAAAATAGATTCCACTGCCCAGATTACCCGCGTCTGTTCTCTCAATCCCATGATGCTCCACTCGGACACGGGGCAGCAGCAGACCACTAAAGAGAGGGAAAACATTGTTAAAGTAAAACAAATCCAAGACCAAATAAGATTTTTTAGTTGTCCATTTGAAGACCTTCACTACACTGTACCTGTCTGCAGTACAATATCATCAAATATATCACGTTGCTAAAGCTACGCTCCACTGCGAGTCTAAGCGCTCAATTCAGATGAACTTGTTTGGAGTTGTTCACATTATTCTTAAAAGGAACCAACATCAGAATCCAATTTGAACTGGTTGCTTAAAGGAACTATACCACTCACATTAAACACAGCATAGACTATGATCTATGAGCTTCATTTATCCCTAAATACAGCAGTGGGATCCCAGCAAAACTGGCTTTAATTTTTTTTTATTTTTTTTTATTTAGCCTTTATTTATACAGGTTTAAAATCTCATTGAGACACAAGGTCTCATAATTAATGAGATTTAATTAATTAATTAAATGTATAGCCAAAGTGCGAAGGAAAGTAAACCTTTTTTCTAATTTCAAGTCAGAACAGTATACCATGCTTTCTTGGTGGTACTCCCTCTGTACAGAAATCAGTCTGGATTTAAAAAATCTACAAGTACTTTTTCGTCTCAGAAATTATCTTGAATTATTATTATTATTATTATTATCTTGATTAAAACCTGGGATTGTCTAACAGAAATTGACAGATACACTTCAGGATGCTGTGTGTGTGTGTGTGTGTGTGTGTGTGTGTGTGTGTGTGTGTGTGTGTGTGTGTGTGTGTGTGTGTGTGTGTGTGTGTGTGTGTGTGTGTGTGTGTGTGTGTGTGTGTGTGTGCACAAAAGAAACCTGCATCGCTTTAGACGTCTAGTCCCAGCTCCAGGTGTTAAACTGGACCTGTTTTGTTTCAGGGAAAGAAAGCGGAGCTGAAGCGCTTCATCATCGAGTTAAGCAAAGAGTTCTCCATCCTGTCTCAGTTCACCAGCTTTGTGGCCATCGAGGAAAGGGTTTGTTAAATGAAAAACATTATTTATTTATATTTGTCCACCTTTCCACCCCAGATTTGAAGGTTTTGTAGCACCCAACCATCCCCTCTACCTTGTTTTAGGACTCAGAACAACCAGAGGAAGGCTTTACAGACATCCCAAAGCTACTCGCCGAGGAAGATGTGGACTTCCTCCCCTATATGGGCTGGATTTCTCCTCAGGACACTGAAGAGGAGGACTCTGAGGATTATTCTGAAATGATGTCCGCATGCTTAAGGGTAAAGTCACATTGTGTAATCAGGGGACAAGAAAAAAGCATCTTTACTTGTTATGATTTACTAATTGACAATATCCTTTCTGCCTTCGTCTCTCCGTTGTAGGAGTGTGATGATACTAAGGATTTTGGGTTGCTTGGGACCTCTGAGGATGAGTCTGAGGAGGACTCTGAGGATGAGTCTGATAGGAGGTCCAAATGCAATATGGTAAAGTCACATTGTGTAATCAGGGGACAAGGAAAAAGCATCTTTTCTTATTATGATTTCCTAATTAGTGCGAATGCTGTGCCACAGCATTCCACTATAGTACTTCAATTTCTTTATTTCATTCCCAAACCCTACACTCCTCAGACATAATGTTTCATGATAAACATAGGAAAACATCTCATAGCTTGAAAAATGACAAATAATTAAGCAAAATAATTAAACAAAATGCCTCTTGAGGGCATGAAGTGACAAAAATGTTCAACATGTCTCCATTAAAGCCCATTGTAATTTCAGGCAGATATTTCCTCACAGCAGCCGCACACCTTTCTTAAACTGCCAAAAAGGCCACATTATTAATCTCTCTCTCTCTCTCTCTCTCTCTCTCTCTCTCTCTCTCTCTCTCTCTCTCCTCTCTCTCTCTCCTCTCTCTCATCTCATCCTCTCCTCTCTCTCATCTCTCTCTCCTCTCATCTCTCTCTCTCTCTCTCTCTCTCTCTCTCTCTCTCTCTGATTGTGAGTGGACCGGTGAGTATAGCGGAGAGCGATCGTTTCAAGTTTACAACTTTTCAAACCCTTGTTAATATTTCACTTTTCTCTGGGAGATAGTTTATGTCATTGTGCATCACTTGTCCGACTTTGGTGTTTTTTGGTGGTGTTGTTTTGGTTGCACTGGTGATTTGTTTGTCTAATTGTTTGTCTAGCGGCTGCAGCTGCAGTCACGCCGCCCGGCATGGCGTCCCGTGGCAGCTGCGCCGGGTTGGAGAAGCTGACTCGCAAACACGCCATCAAGCTCTCTCCACCTGACGGTGTGTCGGTGGAGGAGTGTGGTCTGGCTGTGGGGGCTGTGGTGGGATATGGCAGAGTCAAATCTGCCTCCCGCATGAACAGTGCGGTGGTTATTTTTTTAGACTGCACGGAGAAAGCTAACCAGCTGGTGGAGAGCGGGCTAGTGATTAAAGGGACGATATTACCCGTGCTACCCCTTGTCACTCCTGCTAAAAAAGTTATAATTTCAAATGTGCCCCCGTTTCTTCATGTTTTTATTGTACATATACTAGCAAATGTGTCTATCAGCTATAATGATTACGTTACAACAAAGGTGTTAATTACATATTTCTGAGCTAGTAAAAAGGGAAAAGTTATCTGAATGTTGATGTCCATCCCAGTAAACTGCATTTTTAATATGTGAACAGGAATTCATCTCTAGCATGACCAAGAAAAGCACTTGGATTGGTTTGAGTGACAGAGAAGAGGAGGGGACCTGGAAATGGGTGGATGGATCTCCACTGACCCTGACGTAAGGCTTTACTTTGGTTTTAAATACAGATGCTGGTTTATGTTGTGACCTTTCTAAATGTTTCACATGTTTCTGTAATGGGAGTTAACACAACACACAGGATGCATTTAAACGTAGGGTGTCTGCCCCTTTCACCAGAAGATTCATTTGGGTATTAAGAAAAGAACATGGCTGTATTACTTATAGTTATTTGTATTTGATGTCCAATCTTTTAGTTCATCTTGTTTTCCTGTAATACCTGTTAGGTTTTGGAAAGGAGGAGAGCCTAATAATGGAGCAGGGAATCCAAATTGGGGTGAAGAGGACTGTGCACAGATCTATTCTAACAAAAATGTTTGGAATGACGTGTCCTGTGAGACCGATCTGCATTGGATGTGTGAGATAGATTAATATTGGTGTCTGTTTGGATACTATACATGCAATCATGCTTTTACAATTGAGTTCAAATCGAGTTATTTAAAACTAGAATTGATAAATCACAATTTGTTTTGTTTGTGTTTTTAATCAGGATTAATATCAGTAATAAATAAATAAATAGTAATTTAATTAGTTTTTGCCAAATTTTGTTTGCCTCAATTACATTTGTATTTGTATTAATCCTTTTACCCATCAACATAAAAACAGCTTATTAAAAACATCTGCTGATAAGCCCACAGTTCCTGAAAGCTATAATATTAAAGGTGCCTTATTGAGCAGAATATGATATAAAAAATTAAAATAAAAACTTTCAACATTAATGAATAATTCAGACATATACAACAATACTCTAGTCTCAGCATTGGTCTTGTTCAAATATGTAAAATAGCCTGTGTGTTATACAGTATGTTTCCTAACAATGACCTCTTGTGGCCATGTGAGTATAAATCTATTGCAGGTATTTAACATTCACACTTTGTACATACTGTCCGGCAGTGGCTCAGTCAGTAGGGGCTTGGACTGTGAGCCGTAGGGTCGCTGGTTCAAGTCCCCGACCAGACCTAAATATGGAGTGTGGACTTCTACTTGGAGAGGTCCCAGTTCACCTCCTGCCCTGCCGTGGTGCCCTTGAGCAAGGCACCGGACACCCCCTTTCCCCCCCCCACTCCCATTGCTCCCGGGCGCTGTACAATAGCTGCCCACTGCTCCTAGTACTAGACTCCTTGTACTAGGATGGGTTAAAAGCAGAGGCCAAATTTCACTGTGTGTGCTGTGTGCTCTGCATGTGTGACCATTAAAGAGGGTTTCATCCCTCCCTATTCTTCTTCTATTCTATTCTTCTACTGTAAGAACTAGTGCTGTCAATTAATACAAAAATGTATGTATGTTTATCACAATAATAATCTGGGACTTTAACTGCAGGATTTGCAGGACAAATTAGATATAGCTAGATCAGGAAATGGCAACTTTCTTTGAGC